CATTGTTGGTAAATTCATCATGTTTTGAAATATAATCCATGATTTTTAATTTTCAGTTGATTTTTAAAAACAAAATAATGTTTACTGTAGATTTCAGGAATGAAATATTTTTATAATATGATCCCACGCCTTTTCCAATGAAATATAGCATAAACTATTTCAGTAGTCCTATTTGAAATGAGTGTATTCATGTAAAAAACCTCGAGTAAATCTATAATTTTTGCATATTATTTGTTTTTAAAACTCAACAAGTAAAAAAAATGTAAATATACAGGGTGTTCAATCAGTGCGTAATTGTTCAATATTTCAATTTGTGTTATAGACAAGCAAAACAGTTTTGTGGATTTAAAAAGTACATATTTTAAAAATATTGTTGGATATACTGGATATTGCATTTTTGCTTGGCAAATAAAAATTTATGTTTTTTAAGTAGAACAACTTGTATTTTATTTTATTTTTAGAATGGTTTATTAATACTGTATTCAACTCTAGAATGTTTTTAAACAATATTAGTGTTGCCAAGCAATTTTTTTTTAAATAGAGAATGATGCAGACCACAAATTAAATAACCATAACTGAGGTAGATTTACCTTAATTTTAAAATTGTTAAATATACAGACTTATAAGATACTAAGCTAACGAATAGTGGTGATAGAACTGGTTGATTTTAGACAGAGTGTTTTAAAACATGTCTTAAATTTGGCTAGTTTTAAGTTAAATTTACTTTATTTTTCAAATGCAACATCCTGTATATTATTTTAGTATAAAATTCTTTATACATATACCTATCCAAAGATTTTAAAATATTAGACAATAACACATATACAGGGTGTCCCACGAGAGCGTAATTGATGGATAGCCGTTGTATTATTGAAAATACGAAAAAAAAAAAATATAAAAGTTGTATGACCATATTTATTAAATATTACCTAATATACAGGGTATTCCATAATCGAGAGGTTGACCAAACATACATTTTTAAAGGAAAACACCCTACAGGTAGTTATAGATATTTGATTGTTTTCACATCGTCAAACGATTTTAATACACTTCATTTATTTGCTATTTTGTATATAGGGTGTGACAAAATGCGAGGTAACGGTTTTCTCAATTTTTTAAATAAAATACCATATATCTTATACTACCAATTAATTAATAAAGGGTAATTCATTTAAAAAATCATAACCTCACGTTTTTAAACACCCTATATACAACATAGTAAATGAGGGAAATCATTTAAAATTGTTTGACGATGTAATAACAATCAAATATGTTTAACTACCTGTAGGGTGTTAAGCTTTAAAAAAATATAGATTCGGTCAGCACCTCGTTTATGAACCACCCTGTATATTTAAGAACAATTGTTAAATATAGTCATACAACATTTATATTAACTTTTTTTTTCGTATTTCCAATAATAAAACTGTCCATCAATTACGCCCTGATATAATTTATTGGCTAATATGTTGGTATCGTTGGATAGTTAAATGTATAACAAATTTTATGCTTAAATATTATACAGGGTGTTGCATTTGAAAAATTGAGTAAATTGAACTTAAAATTAGCCATATTTAAGAGACATGTTCCAAAACACTTTGTAGAAAATAAACCAGTTCTATTACCGCTATTCGTTAGATTAGTATCTTATAAGTCTGTATATTAAACAATTTTGAAATCAAATTAAATTTACCTAAATTATGATAATTTAATTTGAAGTCTGCATTATTCTCTTATTTCAAAAAAAAATTAATTGCTTGGCAAACATTCCCGGGTTGAATATAATATTAAAAAACAATTCTAACAATAAAATAAAATACAGGGTGTTCTATTTAAATTAAATACATTTTTATTTGCCAGGCGAATACGCAACACCCTGTATATACAAAAATATTTTTAAGATATGTATGTTTCAGATCCATATACCTTTTATTTGAAACTGTTTTGCGGACACCCTGTATAACGTTCTGGCAACACCATACGTAAAGTCTATAAACTTGTGCCACAACTATATAATGGTCTTAATTATTGCAATATTCCTGATGGATTAATGGTCTTGGGAAGAGGTCTTGGGAAATACAGAATGCATCAAACAGAAGCTAAATACATGTATAACATAAGGAAATAAAAAACATAAGTTTAAAGTCAAAATGTGCATACTTTCGTGTTCAATAGCTTTACTTCTAATACTTTTTATCAAGAATATTTATTTCTGACACATTGGCCAAAACTTGGTTTAATTAACATGATTTTGACTATTATATTATTAAAAATGCTTTATACATAATTAGGGGTTAATTTAGAAATATCATTCAAGAAATACCTATTTCTTTTACATTCCATTTATTCGATACGTCGGCGTTATATGCGGCTTGTTTAATTGAATTTATACTAGGCGACACACCCTTAGATGACTTATTTCTTAAACTTAATTTCACCATAGGCCTCTTTTTTTATAACTGTTGTTACTAAATTATGCAATTGTTAATAGTATTGTAAATCGTTGCTGCTTTTAGTTTTTTTAAATGTTTAATCCCTATCAACAATTATTAATGTGTCCAACACGTTCATGTTTAAAGTATGAACCAAATACATACTTTTTGCACACATCTTACTCGAAATATTTTTGAATATATATTCATTACCAACGATAATACAAACCACTGCCAAACAGAAATACATATAAACTCAGAAAATACAAAAAAAAAATGTTTATACTTTTCGTCTAAATTTTTACATTACGGTCCATTTTGGATCAATCATGTAAAAAACAAAAATTATGACTATAATATCGCAAACAACTTTTATTTGAACAATTTTCTTATAAATTTGAATTTTGCATTTTTTTGTCAAATTTCTCGAATATGGACCATCTTAGAAAAAATATGTATATTACAAAAATTATAGTGATAAACATTACAAACAACTTTTACTTTAAGAATTTTCTTCTCTTATCGTAAATAACAGATATATTTTATAAAGTAGAAAAACGGCCCTCATTAAAGTAGCCCAGATATTCCAACTATGCCTTATATCTATTCACCACAGGATGGATTAAGGCTTAAATTTAAAATTTGGTGTTTTTTTCTTTATTCGTTTTTAAGTGTTCAAAATTCGAAATTTGTACTTTTTCTCAAATATCTCGAACACGGTACATTTTAGAAAAAATATGTACGGAATAAGCATTATAGAGGTAACAGTTTTTATAAAAACAATTTTTTTAAAAATTCGAATTTTGAACTTTTTGTCAAATTTCTGGAATACGGACCATTTTAGAAAAATCATGTGTGGGACAAAAATTATAGAGAATAATATTACAAGCAACTTTTAGTTGTAGAAATTTCTATTCCAAGCGTAAATAACAGATATATTCCAAAATGTAGGAAATAACCTCCCATCAAGTACGTCAAAATATATATTTGAGCAGCAGTAGCAGGATGGTTTATACGTCACATCGTCATTCTTCCTGTTCAAAATCATAAGGATGTACCAAAGTGGCTAATTCTACTAATCACCTCGAACGAGAAACCATCGTGTAAAAAACTGAAATTAAAAGTTCAGAATTGCACATGCGAATTGATTATTTATTATAAGTCATCACAATATCACTCATCACCCCGCGATCACATATCGAGCAGATTCCTATTTACGTTTGTATTGTTTATTGTTTTACGCTTGAAATATTTGCCACTGAAGATAGAATTCACGAGAAAACAGTAACACAAAAATGCGATATTAGACAAAGCGTTGTTGCCACATTGGTTGTTCAACAGTAGTAGTAATATGGTGCCTCAACAGCGAATAAGTATATGCCTTTGTAGGTGTTTAACCGTGGTAGTTAGAGTGGTGCCTCAAAAGCGAATAGGTATAAAATACAAGTTGGTGTATAACAAGGAGCGCGCTCCAGTTATAAACAGTGAGAACTAAATCCTATATAAGTATATGTTCAGCGACTTTGAAGCACCAATACGAAAATTCGCGTACAGACCCCAGATAATATTCTAATAGCATTAAGTAGGGTCTGGCCCTCATAACGTTCTGGCACCAATATGTGGTGCCACAACGAAATTTTTGGTGCCTCAACGTACGGCAAGTCTATAAATTGGTGCCACAATGAATAAATGTATATATATATATATATATATATTTAAAATGAAACAGTATTTATTTGACACATACGAGGTGTCGCTTTGAGTAGTACTATAAAATCGTTTATTTTTTCTACATCTACATTCGATATTGTCTCTTATCAAGCTTCAAGCTAAAGTTTAGTCAAAAGTTTAGTAATGCATGAACTGTGGTGGGATGTTTTTCTCTTTAATTAAATAAAGGCAATATTTTCGTAGATTTCTCTGATTGTAGAACTAAGAATTATTTGCAAGTGATCCCTGTTAACTCCTCATTCAAAATGGCAACTAAGGGTGTGCAAACAAAATGCGCGTACTTACCCCCTCCATTTGGAGATTTTACTCTGATTTATGGTTGCTCTGTATCTGTATACTATAAACAGAAAATCATATTCGTTTATTCTCAACGACTTTTAGTGTGTTTATACTGCTTGTTAAAATTATTTAGTTTGCAGAAAGTGGGTTATTTTATCGAGTATTGTGTTTGATTTATTTTGTTTATTTAGAATGGAAAATAAGGACCAGAAAAACATTAATACTGGCTTGTAAGTTTACCCAAATTCTATTTTTATAAGAATCTGTCCTTCTTTGATAAAAACTTTTAATAATAGTACATATATTGATTTTAAAACCAAAAAAGGTTTTTTTTTCTTTTCGCAAACTGATGACATAATATGTTTTTCGTAACGAGTTTCATAATGCTCAACGTTATCAACTGGTTACGTAAAGTACATCATCTGGACACTTGCTGCGAATCCAAAAAAATGTCACTTTATATGTTAAAATTAGAAAAATACTTTTTCAAAATTAAACATAAAAATTAGATAATTATGGGTAAACTTTAAGGTACATTGCAGAATCTAACTTGTTACTTACAGAAAATTGCATTTTAGTCGCAGCAGCAATCAGATCGTCAGTGCTGTTGGTTGCAGGTTCATACCAATTTAAATTTATTACCATCGATACTTTTCCTAAAAATATTGATTTTAAGAAATATAGGTATAAAGCGAGGAAACTTATGACTAAACAATTTATGGGCAGTTACAATAAAACAGATATAACTGAAGCCTTCAAGGTCATAAACGTAGTGAATAGAAGAGCAGTGAACACTTGGATCTTAATACAGTGTATAATAATTATGTTTCATTCAATTTTGGAAATATTTTTTAATAATAAATATGAACTTTATTTCCCTACTGTTTTCTAAGGATGGTAAAATTAAAAAGAAAATGAAAACTGCTGGATTCTGCTTATTCTTCTCTATTAAATATATTTATCCTGCTCTAAAATTTAACTCTTTAGAAATACACTTCTAGTAGATACAATGTATTTAAATGTATGCGATGTCCTGCGGTGACGTCACAAATCGACATTTGGCAATAGCGCACTTCTCAAACAGATTTGAGAATTTAGACTATCCTGTTTAGTATTACACCGGGTGACTAGGGCCACGTTAGTATCAATTTTATTTATTAAATGATTTGAATCAAATTTATGAAACCTATTAGAGATAATTTCGAATTGACACTTATAATTAAACAAATTGGGCGATTTTCGATTTTATCAAAAATTTCTAAAAGTTATTTTTAATTGATCACGTTTTTTATATAGTGTTTGTTGGAATCTATAGTTTAAATAATATATTGTCGTGCGAACCATTTTCAAACCGTCCGGCCCTGATCTTTGTTTACCTATTTATCGTTCAAGACGCCCGCATGTGTTCCTCTGTTACTCGAAAAATTACTGGAAGATTATTTTGCAGTCGTGACCAACCCCTTTCCAATCAGAATTCCTCGATCAACCTCATTATCCTGGTTCCAATTTTCCGTCATGACAGGTGTTCCTTCTTTAATAGTTTCTTGATGCGGTGCTACTATAATGGTTTTATTTCCACTAGGTACCACCGTATCTTTCTGTACATTTACTGACACGGTACTGTTTCTATATGGATGTTAAAATATCTCTTCGGTACCAACTTTGATCACTCTGTTCTTAAAATTCAACTGGAAGCCATGTAAGTTCATTACATCTATTTCTAGGGATGTTGCGATACTAATGATATGATACTGTTATCGATACTTTTCTTTCGATACCGGGTAATTTAGTACCCGATACTTTGCTTTCGATACTTTACCCATATCGATACTACTTTTGTTTCGATACTACTACTTCCGTTTCAATATTTTACTTGTTTTGACATTACAATACATACAAAAAGTATATTGTAGGATTTCTTTATGGTATGTCAGCTTACCATATGACCTTTTTTTGGTTGTTCTACACTCTTTCGATGTCGGTATCGATACTTTGGTTCCGATACTCTTTTCGATACCGGTATAGATACTTTACTGGTATCGCAACATCCCTATCTATTTCTAGTATAACATCTTCTTCAATATCACCGACATTAACAGTATGAGTAAACTTTTCTGTACCAATTCCTAATTGAACCTGATTCCCCATGGAAGTTGGCACTTTTATCTCTGGCAGTCGCAGTCGCAACCTTGTTGGCAGAAGTTTCTTGCAGTTATTTATGGTTGTTAGTCGCTCCTAGTTGCTCCAATATTCAGCAACAGTGCATATTCTCTACCATTTACTTGCCGTCTACGTATACAATATCATCGATACATTTCAGAGGCTATCAATTTAAGAGAGTTTTTTGATTGGTTACGGGTCGAAATTGCCCCTCTAAGTCGACTCGCTTTAGGTTTCTTGCGTCTTGAGTTGTTGTGACCCTAGGGCGTTTGCACGAATTGCGTATATGTCCCAGTTCACCGCAATTCCAGCACCTGATGGTCTTCAAATTCATCTTTGTTCCAGAGAGGCTCTTCATCGTGTTAACCAATTGGTCGAGTTTATTTACAAGTTCTACCACTTCTTCTTTTTTGCAGTGTTCACTTTACTGTATTCTCCAGAAGCCGGCGTAACTAACAAGACCAACGACCAATGTTTTGTGACCAGCTAAACAGAGTGTTTTCTACACTTCATGGTCACGGAGTCCATCAACAAATGTTTGGACTGCAAAACATACCATCATGTTTCCTGGAGCTGATGGGTAGGCAAATCGTACCAACCTGGCAATATCTACTTTGTATTCTTAAAGAGTCTCGTCACGTTTCTGTTTGTGATTCTTTAACTGTGATTGATACAAATGTTCCAAGTGTTCGTGGCTATATCGCATGTTTTTTCTCTTTTTAAGATGTTTAAAGTCATCTTTCACAGGTGTAGTCTGAAGAACATCTAAAGTATCTCCTCGAAAGGCGATGGCCAAATTTACCTCATGGCACTTCGCCGTCCTTTGACGTCATGAAGTGGAAAACAATGTTTTTCTAAAAGTCTTGAATAACGCGAAACAAAATCTATTTTATTATTTGAGTTGATAATACATACTTCAGATAAAACATATATTTATGAAACGTGTTTATTACCATTTTTACCATTTGGCTTTTAGATTACCAAACTGACAATATCCACTATACACCACTTAGCTAAGAACATTATTTTTTAGTTCATGGGAAAATAAAAATATGGCAGTTCTGTCATATGTACTTGACCCGTGGATTTCAAAAAACATAAATAGGACATGGTGAACTATTTAAAAAATCAAATTTAATAGGATTTACGGTAAAACTGAAAGACTTGCCATTTTGTTTAAGTATAAGTGTCAATTCGAAATCATCTTTAGTATCTTTGTTGCAAATTTAATCTAAATCGCTTAAGGTCGATTCTCACTGTAGTTCAGGTCACGCTATGCTCACGCTCCACTCATGACGCGATGCAATATTGTGACACGCTATTTAAATGAAAATATTCATTCAACAATAAAACGACGTTTGTTTTTCCTATTCTTGTGTTAAGAGCAAGTTGGATGAACAACTAATTGAATTAGTTTGATATACCCTTCGAGCATATATATATGCTCGAAGTAAAACATACTCTGAAGTGCGCAGGACTAAGACTTTAACGAAGACGTGGCAACAACGCCAAAAGCTACCGGTCTTTGGTCAGGGGCCCTATTCTCCAAATTAAACGATGTGAATATTCCACTGTGGGATGTGAAGTGTCCTATTCACTGATCTGTATTATTTTACTGGATAGGATATAGGCTATATTTAACATACTAAAAAATCGTTTCACCAAGGAGACCGGAAGTGCAACAATGCTGGCCGATTTGGGCAAATTATGGTGGGTTCACAGAACTGAAATTTGGGATAATTTGACATACCTAACCTATCATTTGATTAGTTTTTCTTCTTATTCTTATTCTATTCCTTTTGCGGGCGATGTCCTTCGGGAAATTTCACCCATGATTTGATTTTTTATGAAAGAAAATATAAAAATGGAAACGTGAAGCATATTGTGTCTTCAGGAATGAACGTTTATTGTTTATTTCATACTCTTTTTACTTTGTTTTCCACAATAAAAACATCTCATCGTAGCTTGTTGACACAATTAAATGACAAATGTGATGACAAATGGAAATAGAGGTTACGTTAAATAACATCCGGTCCGCCATATTATTTGCCCAAATCGGCCAATTTTTCGGAACGTTTTTTAGGGGGCTATATCCTATCCAGTAAAATAATACAGATCAGTGGTCCTATTACCAATTTGTTCTCTCGGTCATCGTATTCGGTATTCTTGAATCATTCACATCTCATAGGTTCACGGAGCACCGCTGCCAAATTTAAGTTGTGCGTTAGAACTATTTTAGAAGGCACTTTACTTCAATTTTTTATTATTTTTTTGACAATTGTAATATCAGATTATATTTTCCATTATTTTCTATTAAATCCCGTGCCAAAGGTTTTTTTAGACGAACATTTTTTATGAATATTCAGTCAGTAAAGTCAAAAGGATCCTCTTTTCTTAAAAAAAATTCTTTTTGGTCGATTGACATCTTCTTCTGCTTTAGCTAGATAATTTAAAATATGAATATCAAGAAGAGCTTCGTCCAAATCCATTTTAATTAAAAAAAGTGACGTTTTGATAGCGCACGACAATGACAGTTCTCCCAATGTTCTCCCGAAATGATGCTCTTCTACTGGTTTTGACTAAGAGAAGTTTGTTCTCTCGATTTTCATGTGAAGTGATCATTCACTTCAATTCAAGAATGCCACTCACACACTTTTTAAGAGAACGGCTGCCCAGTTCGCATGAAATGATCATTCTCTCAACTGGAGAATAGGCCCCCGATGTGTCGCGGGGGAAAGGGAAGAACGGTGTAGCTAGACGGGAAGAAACAGAGACAGACAGTTTTTAGCACGCGAAAGGCAATAGGTCTGTTCGGGTTCTTCAAACATACATTGAGAACTATCAGAGAACTAGTTGATCAGTAGACAGTTTAATAGTTGTATGCGACGAATAATTTGGATTGAACTGTTCCACTGGTTCTCGGATGGTTTGCATCGAGTTTTAAAGAAACCCGAACAAACCTAATAAGTAATTTTAAGTTTTGTTGTTAAATAAAAATTTGTAACGACTCGAGCTGTGGTTGATGTCCAACCCAACTTGTCGTCGCTGTTTGAAGTTGTGTAAAGTTGAAATAAAGAATGTTTCCAATATACCAGAATCCCCATTATTTAACCTGAGGAATTGGCTCATTACAACTCTGACATGGCATTAAAAATATAAAATTTTTGGGAAATGGGCGCCTGTTGAGTGTAACATTGGAATACTACCTCATATTCTTAACTGTAAGTAGATCGTGAGTGTAGCGTAACCTGAGCGGCTAGTAAGAATCGGCCTTTAAGTTTCATCGTCACCCGATAAAATTCTTGGAGGAGCGGTCACAATTGAATTATGTCTATAGAATAAATTAATGAATATTTTACCATTTTGTTTGCTTCTATATTCCTGATCATACAAATGCCATATTGAAGCGTGTATCTTAAGTAAATTCTTAGCACATTCGTATGCTTTAACAACACCATCCCAAATACAAGTTTCGTATGGTTCATTTATCGTAAACCAATATTTTACATCGTCGCCAAATAAGTCAAAAGCTACTCTTGCAAAGTCGGTTACCCAATTTATGGAATCGATATTATAAAATCCTCCAAGATCACCCAAAGATTGTGGCATATCTCCATGGTAAATGGTTATCATAGGCTCGATATTGTTAGCTTTTAGCTCGCTAATTAGATTTTTGTAGTAATTTACACCTAAGGGGTTAATTGTGTCATTGTAACCTAAAATGAAAGAAACAATTTAATGTATTGTTATTTTTTCCAAATAAAAAAATTTCGACGAAAAGGAACGTAACATTTTATTAAGTATTGTTTAAATTTAGACATTACATTTCAGTAGAGGGCGGGAATTAACTATTTTACAAGCAAACGATCTTCGATAAAAAATGTGTAATCATTTGATTACCAAAGAGTACGGTTGTGTTAAATAGCCGAACTCCAAAAGTAGGCCAAGTTCAAGGCCGTAGCCAGGGGGGATCAAGGGGGATTGTCCCCCCCCCCCCGCCCCCCCGAAATAAAAATATATATTTATTTTGGACTTTTAATAAGTATTAATGAGATACTGCAGTTATATTCGCTCCGTGCGCGACAGCAGCGCCAATTTGTTTTGGTATTAAAGGAGTATTTCTGCCTATACTGACAAATACAATTTTTAATAGAATTCGTAAATAAAAAGTATATATGTTAGTTTTAATAAAAGTATATGGATTTATAAAACAATTAAAACATTAATTTATTATTATTATATATTTTTCACGCTTAAATTGAAGAAAATTATGTATAATCATTAAAAATCAATAATAAAATATAGGCAGGCAACAGTATTTACTGGAAAATGTATGAGAAGTTGCCTAAGTCTAATAAGTTGTCATTGAAGAAACCATTTATAATAGCGTGAAGTTAAAATGTATAAAATGGATCGCTACCTATATTTTCATTTTTGTTCTAAAGAAAACATAGAATGAATGATTAAAACTGGTTTCCGATCAGTAAGTCACAAAATTGCATACCAGCCAAATATTATAATCAACGGCAGAAATCTTGAAATCTAGTCCTTGCTGAATGAACATTTAAGAATAAAGGGATATTAAAGAACATCGTAAAATGATAATTTATTGTTTATTTAAAAACTTTCTAGTTTCTGATGTCTACTATTTCCAGCATTACTGTTATTATCACAAAAATAAAGGTAATTTTTCTTCTTATTGTACACCTATCCATTTATTTCTTTGATTTAATTTCCACTTTGTTAGTGAAATTTGTTATATAAGTTTCACTGTTTTTTTTTTGCTAGTATTTGTACAATTTTCAACACAGCAACTCCGGTTGCTTATTGTGTTGTTTTTACCTACTTTTTTGAAAAAAAGTAAAATGTATACGTGTATTTGATATGCCAAAATTACAAAATATCCCCCTAAAATGCACGAATTATCCGCAGCTAGCGCTAGTATCGCTTTTGCTTCCCTTTCCATGACTTCGCACGGAGCGAATACAGTGCGCCCGTCTCACTTTGTTGTTATACACAATATAATAGTTAATCATTACTAACAAAATTCTCTACCTACTGTAATTTTTTTATATATAACCTTATGCTCGCTTGAAATTCGCACGACGATACTTAAATAGCAGCGCAGCGACATCTATTAGGGAGCGGCGAAACTACGTGCTACGCAACTACACAAATAACGCAACTTCGGGGACGTGCTCGAACTGCATTTCGGGAATATTCAATAAGCATAGAATGAGACGGATTAATCTTGATAATTCATTGCGCCGCGTCTGCGGAATATATAAGCGAGCCGTCGAGCACGGAGAGGCAGTTCTGTCTTGGAAAGTGATCCAATGCGATGCGACTAAAGCGATATAAGCGAAGTAATAGTGCAGTGTGTGAAATAAGAGTGCTGTGAATTAGTAGTGAAGCAAGTGCTGTTATAATTTTTATAATTTAAATTAAAATTAAAAGGATTTGATGCCTACTCGTATTCATTTTCTTTTAAATCTTTATGGAAGTAAATATTTGTGTACAAATGTAATTAATACTTGGCTGTTTGGTTAATTGTAACAGGTCGGGTCAACATTTGAAATGGCAAAAAAGGACGCAAGTAAATACATTATTCAAATATTTATTTAAAAAATCTAAACCTGGTACTGGTAGTAAAGGTTCTACTGAAAATCAGTGTTCAAGTGTTTTCGACAGTGATACTGCTACAAGTAGTTCTGGTAGTTCTGGTACTTCTGCTGCCGCTCTTGGGACTGTGGATGATATTTCTCAGCATGTTTTAGATGTGGGCTATTATACGGGATCAAACACCAAAATTGATGATGATTTAAAGTATAGATTGTTGAAATCTCCTTGGATGCCAGAAAAGACTTTTAAGTTTCCAGTAAGTGACGATAAAAGGAAGCCAAAATTTCAAATGCAATGGTTTAATAATAATAATAATAATAATACTAAACCTTTATTCACACATAAAAAATAGAATTACATAAAAAATTTCAGACGCATAAATAATTTGCAGAATAAAGTATTTAGCGATAAGTACTACTGTACTTGTTTCGCTGTAATATAACGAATAAATATTAAAATATTAAAATATCCACATACATACACAGAAGGGTAAATATATACATACATATACAACGGTTCTCATGGTTGGTTTACAAGAGTACAGGGCAACAAGGTGCTTTATGCAAATATTGTGTATTATTTGCCAGAGATTGCGCAGGAAAAGGCTCTCATCAGCAGTTGAAATCCTTTGTTACTCAGCCGCTTACTAAATGGAAAGATGCTGTACATGATTTCAAACATCACAGTGAAAGCCAAAACCACAAATCTTCTGTATTATTGGCTAATAATTTTATGGTGTATAATAAATCTCAATCAAATATAATAAGTCAGATTGATAGCGGATACCTAGCGCAAACAGCTGAAAATAGAAAATGGTATATTCCGATTATTGAAACAATTAAATTATGTGAACGTCAAGAATTGGCACTGAGAGATACATGCGACTCAGGTCCAATAAAGATTAATGATGCTGAGCCAGAAACAAATGATGGAAACTTTCGTGCTGTCTTACGGATGAGAAGCAGATGTGGAGACTCAAATCTAATAAAGCACAGAGAAAATACGACGTTGAACGCTACCTATCTAAGCCCGACCATACAAAATGAACTTAATGCAATTTGTGGTGAAATAGTCCAGAAAAAAATTGTGCAAGGATTAAATTCTGCGAAATTCTTTTCAATCCTTGTTGACGAAATTACTGATGTTTCACGACAAGACCAGATGTCTATTTGTCTAAGATATGCCAGGCCAAAAGATAATGGGCTTTTCTTGCGTGAAGAAACTTTTGTAACAGTTGAGAATACAAAAGGAAGATATTCACCTATTGCAATTTTATCTGAATTAAAATCTTTGAGAGTAGATTGCGAATATTTAGTCAAACAAGGATATGATGGAGTTTCTTCGATGAAAGGAAGTTTTAAAGGTGTTGAGGCAGTAATTCGTAAGTCACATCCAGAGGTCTTATACGTTCATTGCCAGATTTAGCCTATTCTAAATACTATTGGAATTATAAAATCGGTTGGAAATTTATCAAGTCCTCGGCAAAACGAACCAAGTGTTTAAAAGATAATATTGAAAAAAAACTTCCCTGAAACACAATGGAAAAACCTTACGGCAATGTGCGAGACCCGCTAGCTAGAAAATCATAATGGTTTGTTAAGATTTAAAGAAATTTATAAAGCTATTGTTGATACACTAGACAACTTAAGCACTGACATGAATTCTGAAACATCGTCAAAGGCTAATTATTTTCTGAGATCAGTCATTTCAAGTGATTTTGTTATAAGCTTATGTTGCTTAGGAATGTTGTTCCCGTACACACTGACACTATACAAAATACTTCAATCGCTCCTATACGATGTCGATTTAATTATAAAGACTATTGAAGATGTTCGCCAAAATATTGATTCAACATTTGCTGAACTTTTCAAGAATGTACAGAATTTGCTCTGTACTGTACGAGGAAATGAAAATTCCGTGAATAACGTCACGCCAAGAGCATAGGGCAAACTACAACACAAAAGATCCTGAAACTTATTTTAGAATTACTATAATGATTCCACTTTTGGATGATTTCATAGATCAGCTTCAGTCAAGATTCCAAAATCATAAAAATTGGTGGAAGAATCTGAACTAGATTGACCAACATGTGCTATTGAAGCTCTCGGAGAATGCAACCAGGCCTTATTTTCAAACATTCACAAACTTTTAAAGATCTTGGCTACACTGCCTGTTTCTACATGTACTCCTAAGAGGACTTTCTCTTCTATGAAACGCCACAAAACTTATTTGAGAAACTTCACTGACCAGGAAAGACTAAACGGTTTGGCGTTAATGTCAATCCACCGCAGAATTGACATCGATACCGAGGAGGTAATGGATTTGTTCGCTGCAATGAAAGCTAGAAGACTAAATTTAATTTTGTAATAAGTTGTTAATATTTCTGTAATGGTTTTCTAATAAATATATAGGATAAGTAACACCACTTTATTTCTTTTATTAAAACGATTTTATGTTTTTCTACTGTTCCACCAAATCAAACCCCTCCCCCACGAAATTATTTTCTGGCTAAGGCCTTGGCCAAGTTCAAGTTAAGTGTATGGCGTATCGCAAATCGCGATAAACAATAAAAACAATGATTGTTTATAGTTTAGTAATTTGTAACAATTTTTAGTTTTAAATCAAGTAACCAAATTAATTTAAAAATAATACCTCAGGGAAAGATGGAAAATCAGGCCACCGCACCGCGGTGTTTAATTCACAAAATACGGCGACTTTAATAGAGGCAAATAATGCTAGTTCACAAACCCAAAAGGAATAAACATTATTTACCGCATGAAAAAAAATCATAATTTGAAAAAGAATACATGGCTAATCGACTAAATGCAATGCAACTTCAACTAGAAGAAATGCAAAAAGCATTTAATAAACTACATAACTAATATACAGTAAGTCAAAAAAGTGTGGCACAAGGTTCATCAACAAAACAGATTAAAGATACGTCAGACTGATACTTCACCGAAGAAGAAGAATTGTCTGCAGAGACTGAGTGGATTAGAGTAAAGAACCGTAAAGAGACGAATGGATACAGCACCTTCTCACCCACAAATCAGTCCAAAGGTCCAAGGAAATTACCAACAAAAAAATTAAAAAGGTACCTCAGCCGCCTCCAATAATTGTACATGGGATTCAAAACTTTAATAATATCCATCAAATTATATCTAGCAAAATGATTAATTTTCAAATAAAATACATTAAACACAAAATTATCAAGGTAAATGTTCCGGACGGAGAATATTACCAAGCTCTCACGATGGCATTAAGTGATGAAAATTATTCGAAAATAAACAAAATCGACCTATTAAGATAATGGCTACCAAATTTCATCATTCCTCTAATCCTCAACAAATAACTAAAGGGGTTATAAAACAACAAGAAAGTTTAAATATAAAACCAAACAACCGCTGAATACGTTCATGCTATCGTTCAGTAATGATGAGGACGTCAATAAAATATTTAGTATAAAAGATATCATGGGTTTAAGAATTGACATTCAGCATATTAGAAAAACTGACTAGATCCCAATGTAAATGGACATACACAAAAATATTGTTCAAAGAAACCAAGGTTCGTTAGATGTACAGAGAAACATTTAACAGTAGAGTATGATAGACCATAAAATGCTCCTCCAAAGTGTGTCCATTGTGGAGAAGGCCACCCGCTTAATTACCGCAGATGCATCATAGCCAAATAATTTCAAAGAACAAAAAACAAGCAAGCGAAGAAGCCAAACTTGCCTCCGCAACCCCATCGAGATAACAGGTAATATATTAATAAAAATGAGATATCAAATATTAATACAAAAGAAACACAAAAACGACTCAAAAGGTTATTTCAATTATCCCACTGGTGTATTAATGAACTACACCATACCTTACGTTTGGCCCGCTATTTAGCAGGAGTGAACATTTGCTAATGATACCGCCGTTAGAAAATATCACGAAGACGCTAATAGAAAATTGCAAAAATCTATAGACCAGATTATCATCTGAAAGAAAAGGTGGCGAATAAAATTAAATGAAGGTAAATCTGTCCAAATCATCTTCAGCAATAAACAAAACGAATATTAGAATAAACGACGCTCAGAACCCTTTTGCCAATATAGCAATGAATATGGGTATGACATGTGATGATTGACTTCACTGAATAGTTCATATCAAAAACAAACTCGAAGAGCTTGTTATAAAATACAAAAGAATGTATTGGCTGCTAGGAAAAAATTCAAAATTATCCACATACAAGAAACTGCTTCTTTACAAGCAGATATTGAAACCGTATGGACGGTTGGTATCCACCTTTGGTGCTGTGCCAGCAAAAGTAACATCCAAGTTATTCAACGTTTTCAGAATAAAGTATTTTAAAAACATCGTCGATGCACCCTGGTACTGCCGCAATACTGATCTTATAGGGACTTTAAAGTGGAGACTGTTGAAAATACAATACAAAAATTTTTCAGTAGTCACCAACAAGTACTGCTCCAACATGGAAACGTTGAGGTTATCCAGCTCCTCAACAATGCCAATTTGATGAGAACACTCAAGAGAACCAAGCCTTTTGAGTCATATCAGTGATGTTAGATAAAAGAAGAGTACGTTAACGGTAGTGTAACTAACTAAATAGACTCTAAGGTACACTAAGGAGTAGAATCATAGTTTTTGAAGTTTTTTCATTACTAGATAAGTTAGGTTAGAATAAAATTGCTTATTGATTTTAATGATCACATTGTAATAATATAGAAGCATTTACTTCTATACTTGGGGCATTTATATATAAATTTTTCTAGAAACAAACTATGTTACAACCATATGATGAGCAAAATTAAAATTAAATATTTAAATTGAAAGGCAAGTTTATTTTATTAAATTATTCAACGCTTTTTTAAGTAAAGTAGACAAAGCTGCTGCCAAAAGTAGGTACTGTCTAAAATTTGGGGATTTAGACAATTAATACTGCTTCTTTGTATACAAAAAGTTGCAATAGATCCAGAATTACATCTAATGACACATTGGAGCTTCTTTGGTTTTCTTCTGTGATATCCAGATAGGCAATTATTTATAGTCTTGCTTTCTTATACCTAATACTATGTACTCTTTATTCTATTTTGAGTAAATTCATAAAACAGAAGGTTGTCAAGGAGAGATAAATGTAATAATAACAATCTGCTATTAAATATACATGCCATTTGGTAAAATTCTCGGCCAGGATAGTGAAAATCTATAGTGAGTAACGCCCATGGCTGCAAGAATTGCCACATCTTCCTTGTATTTGTGATAGGAATCACAACTGATATCTGCAGTTTGATTATCTTTTATTACAGATGGAATAAGATGGTTTTTTGTGTCCCAAACACTAGTAGTTTTACCATCTATATTCCATGCACCTGAAAAATATTTTTTTATAAATATTTATTTATTTAAAAATGGAATATTGTTTTATAAATAAAGAGAATAAACTTTTTTTAAGTGCGCTATTAGTTTATCGGTTTTCAACTGTTGAAACGATATAAATTTTCTACGGCACTGCTTATCACATATACTAAAGCGAAAAAAATAACCTATAATATAGACGATTTATTGTTTTAAATAAAAAATAACTAATTCCAAATTATGCGATTTATTATTGAAATACTGTATATAGTTAGTGATTGAAATATTTGTTAATTATTATATTTGAGCCACCAAACAGGTATCAAATAGGTACTTATTCTTACAGAGTAAACTTTTTCTTACGGCTATACTATTGTTAATTGAAAATGTGGTAAGTACATTGCCTTAATTGATTATTCTAATAATATGAAGCAATACTTCTCGTATCAGATCCTTATATTTATCATTTTCTATTTTATTAAAATCATGTGTGCCATGAAATGTCAAAGGTTAAATAATACGCCATTTTAGTGATGATGTAATTATGGTTCCACTGACAATTAAAGTGACAGTAGATTTTTTGAGTGCGTTTTGTTCGTTTTGTTTACCTAGATTATATCGTTTTTTTACTTTTATAAATATAATCCTAAAGTAAGTAGATAACATGCATCAAATTTACAATCGTTTAGTTACCAATTTAATACCTTTAAACTATTTTTATGGCCTGCAAACAATATTTAGAAAGAAACTTGAAACAGTAAAAACATATTTATGTTTTTGTTAAAAGTTTGGTTAGAATTAAATGTCAGTGGAACCAAAATAACATCACACTCAACTAGCGTATTATCGAGAAGGGAGGGGGCATTTTAATTTTATAAATTATTGTAAAGGTAACATGTTATAGCCATAGAAAAAGAATAGTGTTCAACTCGCAAGAAATGCTCATTTCCTGCTTGTATGATACTACCTACTACTACCTATCATATACTCGTAGGAAATGAATAACATTCCTTGTTCGTTAAACAATACTATTTTATTAGTTTTACGAGTGAGTATCGGTTAACAAATCTGTTTTTTTAATTATTGTGAACATTTTACAATGTAAGGGTGATGCGGGTAATGCCGGCCAGCGTGTATCAATCTCCGTATCCATGTATTTTAGAAGTGATTTTGCCAGATTATTTTGTAACTCGCCATATGTATAGAAAACAAGCGGTAAGTGGATGAAATTTTCAAATACGTTGAGGAATAACCGGTGATGAAGGACCAGCAAATGGGCTATAACGATACAGTGGGTAGACTGATTCAAATTATAACACATCGTTTAATACGGCCCTGTTCTTTTGGACCAGAATTCAAGTGGGCTGTAATCTGTTATTTTAAAGAAGATACCTGGTGAAGTTTCCTTGAAGTGAACGAGAATAGACCTAGTGATTTCTTGAGCAATAACTGCTTTAACTTTTGTTGATTTGTTCAGAAAATATTTCACATTTTTTGTGTTTTGTGCAATTACTGTTTTATGAAGGTGTCAACCATTGCAACAGAGACCTGTAAAATTTGTTCGGTAGTCCATTTAAATTACATATATGACTTTCATTCTCTTTTACATTGATCTATACATATATTTATCTCTCTTCTATAAAACTCTAACAAGTGCTAGAGGTCGCTGATGTTGCTAGTTTTTTGACATTGTCGACGTGTAAAGTATAGACTAGAACTGATAACTGACAATATTATGAATGTTGTTATGATGGCGTGCATTTTATTAAAATTAATTTAATTTGTGCGCAGCCTTTTTTATTGCTCATCTCACTCATTTATTATAACCATTTTCTGTTTCACATTGTCTACAAGCTGGTGGATCAGACAATAACAATGTGAAATAAATCTTTATAATTGCTCAAATTACGCAAAAATTAAATAAAAGAAAAAAGCAAAAATGGTTAAACTGTCAAATAATAATAGTAGATGCAAGTAGTAATAGAAGAAACTTAAGCTACTACTTTTATGTATCACGAGCAAAATCAAGTGAACTTGCATAAGTAGATCCAAATTCACTTTGTTCATCACAAAGAGAGGACCTGATTCACCTGATAGACCGAAACCATACGACGACGACGACGACGACGACGACGACGACGACGACGACGACGACGACGACGACGACGACGACGACGACGACGAAGAAGAAGAAGAAAAAGAAAAAGAAAAAGAAAAAGAAGAAGAAGAAGCAGAAGTAGAAGAAGAAGAAGAAGAAGAAGAAGAAGAAGAAGAAGAAGAAGAAGAAGAAGAAGAAGAAGAAGAAGAAGAAGAAAAAGAAGAAGAAGAATCGGACGAACTATCTATATCTATGTGTAAATAATTTGGGAAAATTTAAATGTGGTATAAATGTAGAGTTTGATAAAAACTGGGCACATAAAGAGTGTAGTGACTACGAAGATTATAACACTTATGTTTATTTAACTTCTAGAATGATTTTATTTGCTAAACAATTAATTTCCTAAATTTTGGAAATATTTTCTTAATTGGCCGGCATTACCTCCGCCAGCCCTTAGTATATTCTTATTCTCAATGTGGTTTCGAAATGCAATTAATATAAAAATGTAAGATATCCATTACGTGGATATACACGTACCTTCAATTTGAAAGGCTGCTGTAGCGCATCCAAATATAAAATCTGCTGGAAACCTTTTATTATTCAATGGATCTTGAGAACTACTGAAAAATAACAAAATATTAAAAATCTGCCACCCGTTTCATATTTTATGGTTAGCCTGTTGATCAAACTCAATTACCATAGCTAGTGGAAGTTTCTATTGAAATTAACAGAAATTCAACACGCTCACTATTCCTAACAGTCTTTCGAATGCAAAAAATGTCATGTTTTTTTTTATTTCATCTTTTTTCATCAGTTTTATTTAACATTTTCTTGAACATTTAAATTTCCTAATATCCTGCTATCGGGTGGTGTGCCCTGATTACAGTATAACCTATTCCTAAGTGTTGGCGCGTGGGACCTGTAGGGTAAGTTGTGTTCCCAAATAATATCGTCAATTTTACTATTTTGAACCTTACATATGGACAAGTCCATCGTATAAGGTGGGACATAAGATTTGAGGAAACCACGAAAAATAAAATTACGATACTGTACAGTAGTATGACACTGGCTAGATATGTAATTTAAATGGGTTGGAAGTACGCCGTAGGGTACTCGGAGGTACTCGACAACGAAGCAAATAAAATAATTGTAATTGTGAATTAGAGTGTTTGGGTTGCATAGTTTAATTCGTCCACATTAAGCTTCAAGGAGACTGGCTCGAATTCGAGAATGGGTTGATCATCCGAGAACCAGTTAAGAGCATAAAAGAACCGCATTTCCATATAGTCAACACCAGCCGGAGTACTGGTTCAGCAGATTTTGGATTCGAGTACTTAGTTGGTCTGAAAGTTTTGCTACCGAGAGCATGGCAGTATTATCGGCATAGAAAAGACATTTTGACGATGGGAGGTTTGGGAAAGGAATGTAATAGTATGTATATGAGATATAGGAGAGTGGCCAGGACGGAGTCCTGTGGTACTCCAGCAAGTGGGGTAACTGGGTCTGACAGGGCCTTACCTACTTTGTCTGTGATAGTTCTGTGAGGTATGAGTGTATGAGTTTGGAGATATTGAGAGGAAAATCTATTCCATGAGGTTTTTAACTAGTGCAGCATGCCAGACTTGGCCGAAGGCTTTCTGAACATCGAGAAGAACGGCTGAAGAGATTTGGAGAGAGTTTGCTGCAGTGACCGCATTAGTATGAAGGAAGATTATTGCGTTCTGATTGGAGTATTGAGGTCTAAAACCATGTTGGGATTGAGGAATTATGTTCCATTCTTCCAAAAATCCCAGATTCTTTTCTTGAGCAGAAGTTTAAGTATTTTACCTAGTACAGATATGAGAGAGATAGGACGGTATGAATCTAAGTATTTGGGATCCTTGTCTGGTTTGGGAATAAAAATGGTGTTGAGGGATTTCCAGGAAAGTAAAAAGTAGGAAAAGTAGAGGCAGGCGTTCAGGTGTAACGTAAGAATGAGATAAGTGGTTTCAGGAAGATGTTTCAGCGTTCTTCTGTGTATGGAATCGTACCCAGAAGTCGTGTTTTAGTCAGCTTGACAGGCATATTAGATTCTTGGAGGGTAAATGGAGCGGTGAGGTGGTTTTCGATATCCAAAGGAGGAACTGGCTAGGATAGGATAAGGAGCATGGTGGTGTCTTGATACTTGTAAAAAAATCTTTGTTGTATGATATACCGCGATTTATTAGTGACAAAAGTGAAGAGTTAAATTTTGAATGTTGTTCAATTACGTTTAGTTTAAATGGACTTGGGTATTGTTTGTTAACTATTTATCGGGCCCCAAAGGGTAATCTTGATACGTTTTTTAATAAGATGTATATGCTTCCTAATTATTGTTATAGTCATTTCAAATGTATCATCATTTGTGGAGATTTCAATATTGATTTTTTAAAAGATTCACGAGAAAAAGTTTTATTAGTTGATTTGATGGAGTGTTTTAACTTGCGTTGTTTAAATAGGGAACCAACTAGAATTTGTACTGACAAAAACGGTAAAACGTCGCGTACTAAAATTGATTATGTTCTCACAAACTACCTTTCTACATATACGGAAACCGTGGTAGACCTCTGTATTGGAGATCACCTAGCAATTGACGTGTCATTAAATTATATAAAGGAAAAATGTTATGTAACTGATATCAATGAAAAAATACATTTTAGAGACTTATCAGAGGCAAATTTACTTAATCTGCAGCAAAAAATAAGTTCTGAAAATTTTGATTCTGTGTATGAATATTTTGATAACATAAATCTTGCCTATGAAACATTCTTAAATATTCTAAATTACTATATAGAAGTAAATTGTCCGGTTGTCACAAGAGCTGTAAAGGCAAATAAAAAAAATAACTGGATAACTCCAGATATTTTGAGGATGGGAGCTGATATAAGGAATTTATTTTGGTTAGTAAAAAATTCTAATGATGTGAATATACATATTAGATACAAAGAAGCAAAGAGACAATATGTCAATAATATAAATGGAGCAAAAAAATCTCATTTTCAAAAGGGATTGCAAAATAAAACTTTTCAGCAAAAACAAAAATATATATGGAAACAGGTAAATCACCAAGATGGTTCTCAAATTAAACAAATTGAAGTAGGAGGACTGTCAATTATTGAACCAAAACAAATAGCTAAAGTTTTTGCAGAGCATTTTGCCACCTCCACAAAAAAAGCACTACAGTCTCATTTCAATGATTTGAATTTTAAAAATTTTACTGCGTCATGTGTCTCTCAGACCTTTTACTTCTCTCCTGTTGATCATCGTGATGTAATTGAAGTTATTCACTCATTAAAAAATGTTAACTCTATGGGCATGGACTGCATTTCCACAAAGATAATAAAACGTATTAGTCATCACATCTCTCAAATTTTAGCAGACTTAATCAATCAGTCTATTCAGCTAGGTATTTTCCCAGATTATCTGAAAGTAGGATATGTAACTCCTATCTTTAAAAAAGGTGATAATAATTTAATTGATAATTATAGACCTATTACAGTGCCTACAAGTTTAAGCAAAATCTTTGAAAAGTGTGTCCACAAAAAAATGCTAATATTTCTTAAAAAATATGAAATAATATGCAAAAATCAAAATGGATTCCTTCCAGAAAAATCTACTGAAAGTGCAGCAATAGATCTTTTTAATTTCATACATACTTCTATCGATCAAAAGTTGTTTGTGGGTGCGCTTTTCTTTGATTTGTCAAAGGCGTTTGATTCAATCAACTTAGATGTCGCTATTCAAAAATTGGAAGGGCTTGGTTTTAGAGGTAACTTTTTGTCTTGGTTGTCATCTTATATAAATAACAGACAGATCTATGTCAAAGTCGGAAATTGTAAATCTGAACTAGAAAGTGTTGATATGGGTGTGCCTCAGGGATCAATTTTAGGACCTCTAATTTTTCTATGCTACATAAATGATATGCCTAATCATATTAACTCAGAAAACATAATTTTATATGCAGATGACACAACAATTGCCACCAACGCACAATCAGTAGATGAATTAATTAGTAAATTAAATGTTTTATCTAATGAGTTTACATCATGGTGTTATAGAAATTCTTTAATTGTTAATTCAAACAAAACCGTTTGCCTTCAGTTCAACTCCAGAAATCAAATTACCCAGAATTGTAAAGTAAATGCCAATAATGCAGAAATTATGCTCTCAGATGTTACAAAATTTTTGGGCATACATATTGATAGCAATATGGGTTGGGATAGCCAAATATCTAATGTTTGTAAAAAATTAAACAGCGCATACTATGCAATACTAAAATTAAAATCAATATTTACCCAAGAGCAACTGCTTAATGTCTACTATGCTTTAGCATATTCTCATATATCATACAACATTATTCTTTGGGGTGATGCAGTCAATGCATCTAAAGTATTTATCTTACAGAAAAGAATAATCCGGCTTATTTTTAATCTAGAATTAATGCAAACTTGTAAATATAACTTCAAAAAATTTAAAATATTAACATTTCCCTGTATTTACATTTATAAAACGTTGCTATATGCTAAACGCAACATACACCAATTTTTACAAAATTCAAATTATCATGAATACTCAACTAGGAATGCAAATTTATTCAGAACACCAAGACATTCAACAGCATTATTGGAGAAATCGCCTGAATTTGTTGGAATTAAATTTTTTAATCAACTCCCTGATTTCATTAAATCTGAAAAGAAATATGAACCTTTTAAAAGAAAACTTAAAAACTATTTAGTAGATTCATGTTTTTATAATTTATCTGAATACCACCATATTTTAAGGTAAATGTTTTTCTAATTGTATATTTTTAATGTGCATGTCTTAGATATGTATATATATTTTTTTTGTATACTGTACCTATATTTATTTGTATTTTAATATTTTTTATTCATATATATTATGACTTATCCTATATCATGTAACATGATCCTAAAGGACAAATAAACTATTATTATTATTATTATCTGATGAACATAGAGTTCGGTTTCGTGTAGAAAACGGTCGTTAAAGAAGGGGTTTCAGGGGTTCTTAAAATTACTTCAAGGTGTGTCTTGTATACTAAGGCTTTTTCGTCAGAAGTTTTGTATTTCACCGTCGATTTCGAACTATCTCTATGATCCAAATTAGAGGTAGTATTGATCCATTGTTGTAGTTTTTGTTTGTGTTAGTTTATTATTTGGAGCCTAATCAGGGCGTTGAGACAGTTCCATTTGGGTTTGATGACCGAATCGTGAACATACTGTCTATACAATCGGCGTTTCTGGAAAAAAGATTTAAGATGAATCGTGGGAAAGCTTTTTGTGATGGGCCGATGTAAGTAATAATTAGGACTGAAGTTTCGACGGCGTGGGTGGTTGTAGTTTGGACCTCGAGGAGAATCGATGTCCTGTGGCGAATTGAGCGGGCGGTGCATTGGAATGTTTGAAGAGATAGTTCTCTAAAATAGTCGCCAATTTACTGTTTTGAAATTCCGGAAGGAGTACATTGTAGCTCTAGGTGGAGCGGAGTAAAAGAGAGTTGCATATAACATTAATGGAAGGTGATCAGAAGTAATTGTCTCTCCAATGAAGCATTTATCAACAACCAGTCTAATACGAAAATCTGTCGGTAGGATATGGTCGGTAATAGATGATCGTAGGTGAGATACAAAAGTCGAAAGTGGATTTGAGGCTCTAGATGGGATAGTCGATTAGCAGATTAGCAAGACTGATGCTATTTGGATTTGAGGCATGCTCTCCGAACATAGTATGTCTGGAGTTCAGGTTTTTAAGCAAAACGGTGCGAGGAAATGATAATAGAGAATCTATCAGTAAAGTATATATGATTTAACCTGGAACATTTGGAATATTTATTGGAGGGTCAAGAAAATTGCTGGGTTTCCATGACCAGTTATGGTACATGAATTGGCGAAAATGGCCGGGACTAGCGACCCAAGTAGTTTGAGGAGGGGGCATGAAGAACATCTACTGTGTCCTAATGGTGGGAGATGTCGTGCAACCTGTCTAATTCAAAGCAAATTGCTTATCTATGAATTTTTCGTTTTTTGCTGGCAATAAAATAATATACTTCTAGACGTCTATAACAATAAAAAAAATCGTTTTGCAAGCATTTTCTGTCTTCCGGTGTAGGTATTTCGGCCACGTGACCGGATATTTGTGTTTTTCAGCGAAATAAATGTAAATTCGGAATCAAAATGTTTGTTTTACTCTCAAATTAGCGTATTTCCCTTACAAGCATTCTTGTTTTCAGTAATTTTACCTTATTAGTCCTAAATTAGACTATTTTGACACTTTTTTCTTTTCGAATACCCAGGTGAATACTATTATTTTTTATATTTCACATAAGTGACAATTCTGTCGAACTAATTGTTAGTATATTAATATAGCATTTTTATTTTAATTTGGTCCACAGTAAAATAAAAATTAATAATCAAACTATTTGGAACTAATTTAATTACGAGTATTTAAACTAAACACGTAAAAGCGGCGATTGAGCTGAGGACAGAGCTCTGCCCTCCACGCTAAAATCCCGGGATCGAATCTGGGCTGGGGACTAATTATATCTTTTTTTTTTTCATGTTTATTTTATTATATAAATTAGTAAAATTTATTAATTATTTTAAAATTACTTATTTTTTAAATTTGTAGATTTTCGTTAATGGGTCATAGAGAAAATATACTGTACAACTCGAATGCTCAAATTTCGTGTTCGTGCGATATGGCCATCGTATCCACTCTTGTTGCACAAACTACTATTGTGAATCATCGTAAATTTTTTTTTGGCCGAATGATAAAAAAGATGACATTTATTCGGTTACTAAAGGTAGGTACGTAAAATAGGATACTTTTAAAAGGAAAAACACATATTTTTTTCTCTGTTGAAGAATAAAGATTTGTGAAGCAAGAGTGAATATGATGACCATATTGACCAACTACACGAAGACGACAAACCACTCGCTTTGTACAGTATATTTTTTCTACGACCTACGAAAATCTACATAATTTTATTAATTACTTTAGAAAGGAGAGATTTGTCATTGTTAGAGTTCTTTGTTTTCCTAGCCTTGTACCTTAGTACTTTAAGTGTATTTTCTCATATTTTAGAATTTAAATCTCTTGTTATTATTGTTTGTCATGAATATTTTTCTTTTATCTGTTATTTAATCAGTGTACTTACCTAAGTTACATACGAACTCATTGTTTTTAATCAATATTTTTTTACAGATAATTAAATTGATTTTAGATAATTTTATTAAAGTATATGGTTTGTTTGTAAATAGACAAATATCGTGTGGATTATCATCATTTATGATTCTTCAATCACTAAAATCACTAATTTTTAAATAAAAGTGACATTAATAATTAAAAATATACCTATTGATAATTAATTTTACAGATTTGTCCCTTGAAATTAATCAAAAATAGTCGATAAGGTACTAATTGGTGGGTTTCATATTCTTACTAGAATAGATATAGAATTATATTATCCGTTCAGTAGACTGATCTGGCCTACGTTCTACTGAACGGATGTAATTTAATAGATTATTTCATAGTTCATATTTAGTACAATAAATAATTTTTTTAATGCAAGGTATAAAAGAAATATAGACATGAGTAACCACAGGGAGAGGGTCAAATTGGCTCCCGGTATTTAGAATACGTCAACTGAAAATGGTATAGTTCAAATTCGCTCCTGCAAGTAATAAATACACTCCGCACAAAAACTAACGCATCATTTCAATTTTCTTATAAAACGTACAATTTTTGCAATTTATTTTTAAAGTTTTGTGTCTTATAAATTAAGAACTATTTGTATGCAATAAGGCCAAAAAAAAATAAAACTTAAGAAGGGACCAAATAAATTTATTCGATTTTTTTACAAATTTAAAAAAGTAATTTGGGTGCAATCGATAAATAAAACAAAATTAATACCTTGTATTACCACCCCGTGCTGTAAGTACTGCCAGACATCGACATGGCATACTTAAAATCAGGCTTTGCATCAGTTGTTCCGCCAAATTGTTCGGTTAGAGCATTTTGAAGTTGATTTAAGGTGTTAGGAACAATGGGTCGATTTTGTACTTGTCGTGATAAATTATCTTAGACATGTTCTATTTCTCTGCCTGCGTATCCAAGGGTCCGAGGTTCGAATCCCACCGATGGCCGGGATTTTTTCATTTAATTTAATTATTTAAAATTGATTCTGATGCCTTGGTAGAATTCCCCACTCGGCCATTCACTGTTTGGTTATAATTAACAGAGTGTCCTAAAGTGGCGCTGGGATAGTTACAAAGCCTACACAGAACACGAGGCGAAATAACCTTAGCAGTTGAAGCCGATGACACACAAAAAAAATAGTTCCTGTTTTATAGTAGTACAAACAGATTTTAAAATGAACACAAACCAATTACCTAACCAACTCTTTTATTCAGATTTTAACAAAAAAAGACATACAATTAATTTTAGTTTTATCGGATATAAATTTTATGATTTTTAAGTGTAGTTCACTGCCACTCAAGTAGAGAGTCTGCAAGCGATCACACAGGGAGTAGAGAACAAATATAAAACAAATAATTAACATTTATTAGTATAATTTAATGTTAATTTTTAAAGAAATATTTTTAGTTGCAATTTTTTGTCATTATTATCATTGTTTGTATGCACCTTAAGAAAAACTGTTTTAACAATGTTTAAATGATTTGTTAAATTATAATCGTCATTGAAATGATCCATCATTTTCATCAAACTAGATTTTAATTTTTCAATAAACTGCTGAAATATTAAAAATAGTCAATATTGGAAGTTTTATTAGTTAAAATAATAAAAGGCTGATAAAGGCCCTTTAGTGACCCTGTTGGCCGTAGTGACCTATACAATATACCGATCTATTGTAGGTAAACGTTAAAAGGCCATCATTAATTGGAGGCAGACAGTTATTGGACCATTAATTCCCCAGACTAAATTGTTTGTTGGGTCGTTTAGTATTTTATTTAAATAAGAGTATTACTATTTACTATAACAAAGTCATATTCATACAGAATTGTACAAAACTATAATTAAGTGTTAAAATTTTAGAAATGATTCATTTTTGAATAATACTATATGATAAAAAAAAATAAAAACACACTTAACAAAATTACCTAACCTGTACAACTTGAAGTCATAATTCTGTTTTTAATTTGAAAAATGTTTAAAGTTTAAAGTAAATTCATAAAGAGAACTTACCAAAACTCGTAGACAAAATTTATTTTTTTTTTATTTTCATAAATTTGATTAATAATAAAAATAGCAACGATTAATTTTTAACGAAATTTTAGTGTATACGTAAATATTTTAATGAGCTTATTAGAACCCTAGGTGGAGTCAATTTATAACCTTTTGAAATATACTTGAACAAATCGGAGCCATTTTGACTCTTCCATTAAAGAGTACACTCTAATCACAAGTTTTGTCAAAGCCTCTGGTATAATATTTCGGACTTCTTGATATAGCACCATCGAACTACCTCGATATATGCTCCAAATAATAACCACCGTTTGCTTGAATGAAAATATCGAAATTCGGAGGTGTACCTGGTTAGGGATTTTACCCTAATATGATAGTTTTAATACTAGAGATAATAATTTATTAAGACTTACCACGCTTTTGCAAATATTAGTAAAAATATAAATTTTAACTCAATCATTTTTTTAAACTGGAAACATACAACTAACAATCTAAATAAATGCAAGTTTATATTGAATAGGCTTGAATTAATTTTTAATCAAAATTTATTAGCACACTTTTTAAAGATAACAAATTATCAAAGTTCAAGTAGACGTTACTGTGGGGTTTTACTTAATGTTATAATACGACACCATCAAATTGTAGAACATGAATATTTAGAAAATCGTTGGGAAAGAAATGTCGCATTTTATATATACGTAGTTATTTCAAATATATTTTTTAAATAAAATATTAAATAATGTACGAGGATTTGGAATAAAATTGACTATCTACGCAACCATTATTACTTTCATGCATTGTTAGTTGCATAACTTTATTCATTTCATTGGCATATTTATAAAAATAGAAAACAATATAACCACTTGTTGTAGGGTGTATTTATCTAGCTTGTTTAACTTTTGTGGTTTTTAAGAAAGTAGGTTATTTTTTCGTGTATTTAGTGAATTAGCGTTTTGATTATTTTGTGCAGATTTAGAATGGAAAACAAGGACAATAACAAAATTATTTCTAGATTGTAAGTTTGCTTCCCTTTCTTTTATATAAATTTTCAAAAGCAATATATTAATTTTAAAACCAAAATAGGTTCATATTTATTTATTTTATTTTCTTTCCGCAACTGGTGGTATAATAAATTTTTCGTAACCAGTTACATAATGTTCAGCTTTATACAACTTGTAACTAGTCTTCATACTTGTAACATAAATTATTTTGACACTTGCACCGATTACAACAAACGTCACTTTATGTGTCAAAATTAGAAAAAATATATGTTCGGCTAGAAAGAACAAGACATGTATAAAATTAAAAGTCATTACTCTATTTACCATTAAAATGACATTAGTGAATGAGCAGTATTGCGACCAAATATTTTTAAATGTACACGCCGAAGAGGTAAAGGCGCCAACTATTTTTACGTGGACAGACTTATGATATAGGGCGTGTATATTTTTACATGGGCAGGTTTAAGAGGTAAAGAGGACCCAAATATTTTAACATACATTGTTCAAACAATTTCCAAAACCTAATCAAAAGGCGACATGGAATGGTTCTTAATACCAAACAATGATAACTTCTACGAAAATAAGGTTAATGCTTTACAAACCTTAAAATTTAATGTCTCAATACTTTTCATCATCTTTCGTTCTTTCGTTCAATATCAAATCTTTTCTCTCATGCTAGAAGTTCTCTCGTAAAGCCTCAGTACAGATTATACGAAGTGTAGTATTCCCATACATGCGTAGTGGTAACCAAGCAGAGATCAGAATAATCTTTTCTAATGGTCCAGGGTAATTTAAATTATTAGGTAAATAATTAAATGATTTTACGTTAAATTATTATCATTTCCAGTCTGGTCTGTATATCTTTTTAACAGACATAAGTGAAAAAGAGTTTATTTGAATTAGTGCCCCAAATATTTCAAGACTTTACCGCAATGCGGACCTTGCGGTCCCTTAGGCCACTGGTAAATTCGTTAGTTTGTAATAATGTATTACTAATATTTATCTTTGCCTAGTGATGTCATTCTTCTTCATGGCCTCTGCCTACTCAAGATATTACTGGTTTTTAATATAATTTTAATATAAGTTTTATATACATGAAACCGACTCTGTTCTTCATCGACCTTTACCGCTGCCGTTATGTCTGACTATGAAGACTAAAGAGAAGGAGGCGAATCGGCAATGGTCCAAATTCAAATTTCCGTCCTTCTTTTTATAAAGTTCGCGAAATTTACTGTAGTTGGCATGTCGAATGACAGCGGTGTCAATTTTCTATGTAAGTCAATCTAAAATGAAGTTATTTTTTAAAAAATTGATGAAAAGAATCAAAGTAATGTGAAAAAAGTAGGTACCTGAGTACAAGTAACATGAGTGACAAAAAACATCAAAGCAAGATTTACGTCGTTCCAGATTGTAAAACAGGATAAAAATCAAATGTAAAACTAAAGAAAACACAAGAAGAAATCAATTCAATGTCTTTTTGAAGCTTCTAATATAAGTAAAATAATGTATTCATGTCTACATATTTATTGCAAACTAGTTACAATATGTATCTTACGTGTAGTTTATTTTATTAAAAGTTTCTATAATATAAATTTTTACAGTCATAGATGCTGACTTACAAACAACAATAATTATGCATTAAATTTAACTTACTAGAAAAGAGTTTAAATGTTAGATAAAGAGTTGCTACTGTTATTTTTTGCCCAAATTGTGTCAATGTAAATGTTTTTTATAGGATACTAAACGTTTAGAACAATGGCAGCATATATATATACCTACCCTACGGATGATGCGAAGCCAACTATGCACTAACCGCGGAGCGAATCCCGGGTCATGAGGGGAGAGACGCAAATCTGTATAAAACCTGTATTATTTCTCACCGCGTTTAGGAAGTCCGTCCAAATACACTGTGTATAGATCACGGATTTCATGAAGCCCGGTGTTGTTGCCAAACTTACAATAATGGTAATATACGTTTTTAATGTAGTTAATCGCTTACACGAAGCCCGCAACAGCGATCTTTATAATCTTTATATGTTTTGAATACCAATTCAATGATTGCTTTAGTTTTTGTTTATGTTTATAGTAATTAATAATGAATCGGAAAGCAGAGTGAGCTGTTATTGTGGTTGGCGGTTGAAAACAAAATATAATTATTAGTTTGCGAGGATAATATATATTGGTTAAATTTCGCAAATGACAGAGACGTCAGAAAACTTAAAGATGCGCAATTTTATCGTTGAAATTTACAATACATATATTTGATTAGATAACTTATTTGACATGTCTCGATAGCTTAGTTAGATAAACATTCAACATGCATTGAAATTTGTATTTTGCGACCGCGATTCAATTCAGGACAAATGCATTCTTTTTTTTATAAAAAAAAAAAAAAAAAAATAGAAAAAATACGCACCACTGTTTATTTATTTTAATTATCATATTATATAATAAAATTATCATTATGCTTAATAAAATGCATTTAAAATAAATAAACAACAATAGTACGTACTTTTTCAATTTTTGTTCAATACATTTGGCGTGAATTGAACCGCGGCCGCGAAATGCAAATTTGACCGCATGTTGAATGCTTAACTAAGCTATCAAGACATGTAGAGTAAGTTATTTAATCAAATATGCGTATTTTTATTTTTTTTAGACGGTATATTTAACAATTTTCGAATTGTCTGATGTCTCGTTTTCAGGGGGTTTAAACTAAAACCTTGCAGATGATACTTCTTGATGGTCCCGCCAATCAATTCAAAAAATTCCAGCCCGCAGTACGATTGTTTTACCGTGCTGCTTCTAGCTCTTAGACTATACAGACCGCCAGGTAAGGCTTATGGTTTAATTCAAAATATAAATCTTTTTAGCCGATCATTTTTACAACTTTGAGTTATCTGACGTCAAGTTTGTAGGGATTTTAAACTATATCCTATGATTATAATACGCCAATGCTTCGTCGTAAACAGTTATTCTTGAAGATGGTAGATCCGCCAATGTAAGTGTTGGTAGTGCCGATTCTTAGTCGAAAGATGGCTGGAATATTCTAGAACAACACATGTAAACTACAGATATAAATTACTGTTGTATTGAGTACAAGTAAACTGAGTTATGAAAACAAAAACTAAACAAACATTTTTTAACAAGATGGATCGTTTTATTTTTAGAATGCGAATACGAAGACCTCATAATTTAAAACATTAACATATTTTTAAGTAATAATCTGCAAAAAAATTATAGCATGAAACAAAATTCGTAGTCCAAATTTAATGATTAATATTTCGAAATAAGGTTTTTTTAGACCTGGCTCTTTTTTGAACTGACAATATTGACAGTGACAAACCTAACTAAAGAACATTCCCTTGTGAAATTCAAAGAAAAATGGGATGAAACATGGTGCTGTAGAGTTACTAGGGAGCCAACAAATAATTGAATGTGACTAGACAGATTTTACAGGTATTCTGACTGGTCATTTTGAAGTACAATAGCATCTGCACACTAGGAGGTGCGAACAAGAAGATAAGACCTTTGAGCATACGATTGCTCAACGCTCTTATTTATTAAAATATTTATGTTCGACGATTTTAGTTAACACCGGCCGATATAATAGAAGTACCTCACGGTGACCTTATCAACTACATTAAATCTGTAGGCTAAAATGGGCCATCAATTTAATAGGATGCACAATGGGCCTACCATATATCGTTCCTAGTGTCGATAAAGCACTTTCTAGAGATGATGCTGTTCTACACCTTTTAGAAGATATCAAATATTATGAGACTATTTCTACTGATGGTACTGTTAGCAAAATAAAAAGGGGAAGCTGAAATTAAAGGATGAGGTAATACCAAATCTTCCTTTATACTTGTATTACAACAATAAAAAATCTGTTACCTGTGTTTTTTACTCTTTTTACTCTTAAAACTATATATTGGTTCAATTCAAAAAAAAATTTGCCACAAAATTGTACATATTAAATTTTAGCATTTAAGAAACCTTTTCGAATTTGGTCATACATACCTAATTTATATTTTATGTAGATAAAATTAAATAATTTATCAAATAAATCATGCAAGACTCATGTAGAAATAAATACAACAGTATGTTATGTGCTTTATTTAGCTATAAACCAGTTTGTTTTTATTATTTTGACAAAATTATGTACGAGAGCGGTTTGACGCACATACTTTGATTAGTATACGGTACAAGAGAGAGGTCCGACACGCCCAACATAGGGCGCGGCAATTTTGATTCCTATGCCACAGTTTATAGCTAAAGAATCAGATCGCTCACTCTGCGTCGGCACTTTTGATCTCAATGTTCCAGTTTATACACTGCGCAACTCGGATAATACAATATATGACAACCACCTATAATAAAACAGCAGTCTTCTGCGTATCCTGAATTTGTATCCCTGGAGTGGATGTTATTTTGGAATTTTCAACTGGTCTGAGTGAGCTAACTGATTCTTTAGCAATAAACTGTGACTCCAAAAATAATATTCACTTTTGCTTCCGGAATTGTCGGTTTACTCGTTTTAACCTGTCAGATTAAAACAAGAAAA